GAAACCGCGTCTCTGACCGGTTTTGGATGATACTGGAAAATCGGCATACTCATTCTGAAGGACAAGCCGTCTCTGCGAACCCAGTCAATTTTTGTTAAATCCGTCGGAGGACTGCGCGGTTCACGGGTAAGCAGACGACGCAGAAGAGCGCCGTTTCGCTTCAGCCTCTTTGCCGGAAGAGGTTTGTCTGGGTTTGTGACTGGGCATTTTGAATCCAAGAATACAGCTTTTCGCTAAAATAAACGCGCACCGTTACGTCATTCGTTTATTACAAATCCCATACCTCTTCGGTCTTCGGAAGAGGAGAGGTGATGGTGGGTAGCCTTTGAATCGATGACGTCGACGATGACCAGTCGGTATTATCTGCTAGGTGAGAACATTCAGAGACACAAATTTCGAAAGTCCACTTGTCAACAGGCTCCGGTGTCCGGTCAGCTAAGGAAAACGACGGTTGCCACTGTTGTTCAGCTTCTCGTCGTCGTTTCAACGACCGCAGAGGGAATGACCATTCTTCGCTTTTACTATACTTCCTTTTCTTGCGGCTCAAAGCCAAAATAACCGAATCCTTGAAACCGGAACTAGAACGCGGACGAAATGCTTCTGGCATATGGTGCTGAAGACTATAGTCTCTAGTCGTAAGAGACCTTTTGACAACATCTTTTTGGGTGCTTTTATTTTCTTTATTTGTTTCCTCTTTCCAATCAAATTCTGGAAAGAGTCCGATGGAAATGAGGGAATTTTCAGATGATCGCAAGGCCAATGTTTGAATCATCTCCACATGCAGATATCAAATTATATCTAAATGTTGTAACTTAGCAAAATTTGGGAATAAAAATAACAATTACGACGAGACTCAACTCAAGACCACACAACTAAATGCAAAGTCAAATATCCCAGTGGATAGTCGCACAATTTTAGAGTAACGCAAAAACGGCCTTAGTGAAACTTTTGATATAGAAAAATCAACTGATATAAAGCTTAACACGTTCAGCATATCTCCGCTGCTCCTCTTCCGAAAAGGCTGCCGACTGTGTAGCAATATACCCACAAACAATACTAAATTTAATCTTGAGTGACATAAGTTCCAGATTTATTGCCGCCACTCAGTCTGTTAGTTTTTATGGCTGTCTATTCTTCCAGAACACGTTGGGAGACGCGCCAAAGTCTCTCTCCAATGTTTCAACTTCAGCAGAAAATATCCTGACAGGAGAATAATCGTTAACAAACATGCCCAGACGATTCTTGGCCATTCTTGGGGACTTCAACCGGCCGGTAGGGCAAGTAGAATCTATTTAGTCTTCATTTTTGGAAGTTTTTGCAGGCGTACCTGAATTAACGCAGCTATGACTTTTCAATCCGGACCAGCAACGGCTGCATCAAGGCTTTCTTGGACATCGATTTTCCGAGTCGTCTAGAGGGGGGAGAGCAGGGATTCGTCTAAAAACCTATTTCAGCCGCTGCTACCTGGGATAAAACTTTTTCAGTCAGGGACCACGAATCTACCGATCGTGGGTGAGCATCAGGAAGAAGATCGACTTGAAAAAAGACACATTGGTCTTTAGAATCAGCTCTGCTGTAGTAACAACGGTACGGCATAGTACATGCAGAACGTCCCTGGTTACTCCAAATCTCCGGTAGATCTATTACACATTTTTTTCGTCACCAAAGACCACTACCCAGAGATAAGTTAACTTCGGGTAGTGCTCACTTTCAATACTAACATTTCATCTATCTGCAAAGCTCAAAGAGCAGGTAAACGAGAAAGCGTTACGCTTTTCACATGCATATTGGCTACGTATAATCGGAAGCAAATCTTTCTACAGCGTGCTGCACATCAGTTTCAGAATATGGCAACTAAACAAGGTCGTCTGCAAACGGCAGCCTTCTCATCTTCACACTTCCTTCGTCGACTAGGCTGCGCCTGACAGTTATATCCATGTACAACACAAACAGAAGATGATTACCTCACAAATATGTTATAGGTACTTACAAACAGAAAACGGCAAAGTTCATCAATTTTCAGGAAAGGGACTAAACCTAAGACGCCCTTCAGAACAAAACAAACAAGATGATAACGCATCGATGGACGGCGCATCAGATGAGAGGGACAACTTACCAGAGATCAACTGTCGATCAGGAATATTTCAACCATCAATGCGATCACTAACTCCTTTGGCAAGAAAACTGGAAACGAGAAAAAATATAGAAATAAACGTTTTCAACTGAATCTTCTTCCATATCGTTTTGCGTTACCAACGTCCGAGGATAAACTTAAAATTATTTTTATTCGACAAGAACGCATCTACTAATTCAAATTTACTGTAGAAAATACCGGGTAATACGCAAGTTTAATCTAAACAAGTATTTCTACTATTTACTTGTACACCAGTTAAAATTTCTGGAATTAACGAGAAAAGCAATTCTGAAGATATTTCGAGCAACGATTTTCTTCATCTTCATCTTGTTTTTCCATCGCCGCTTCTCCTTTCCGGTTGCAGAGGCAGATACGTCAGACAGTGCTTCCAACGTTCCCGATCCTGTGCCAGAGTCTGAGCTTCGGCAAAAGA